CCCGCCTGGACACCTTCCTGTGTGATGCACAGGAACGCTGATTGGTGACGCTGCTCTGGCAGGGGGGGTTGGACTGGATGATCTTTCAAGGTCCCTTCCAACCCCTATGATTCTATGACTGAGTTAGAATTGCCGTTGGCTGTAGAACGTGGGGTTGTGGCCACTGCACCAGAGCAGCAAGGTGGGGATGGCCAGCAAGGGGTGGAGTGAAAGGGGGATGGCCCATGGGAAATGTGGGGAACCCACATCTGAAATCCAGAGACCCTGGTGGACGTGGAGCTGTTGGTGTGTGTGTCCAGAGGAGCGCTACAGATTTTTTGAAGGAGAGGTGGAGAGAGTGGGGTTTGTTCAGCCTGGAGAAAAGGAGGCACCAGGGGGACCTTATAGGGACCTTCCAGTGCCTGAGAGGGGCCTACAATAACACAGGGGGGTCTGTTCACAAGGGTTTGGAGTGGCAGGAAAAGTGGGAATGGCTTTAAGCTAGAAAAGGGGAGATTTAGGTTAGACATTAGGAAAAAGTGCTTTAATATGAGGGTGATAGATCCCTGGAATGGGTTGACCAGAGAGGTGGTGGAGGCCCCATCCCTGGAGACATTGAGGATCAGGCTGGATGAGGCTCTGAGCACCTTGATCTAGTTGGAGATGTCCCTGCTTACTGCAGAGGAGTTGGACTAGATGACCTTTGAGGTCCCTTCCAGCCCAAACATTCTATGATGGGCTAACACTAAAGGCACTGACTCAGGCTCATGCAGTGCTCTAGGTCTGGTGTAGCACAGGGATGGTACCAGTCTAGGAGAGCTGAGTGTTAGGGGCATATGCAAGAGTGGGACTCAGAACTGGACTGGGTGACACAGCAGGTTCCCCCAGAGCTTTCCCCCCAAACTCAGTTGCTGTGGGACCTCAAAAGAGAGGCAAAGGGAGCAGAAATGTCACATAGGGTGTCTTCTGAACCAACAGAGCAATACTGGAGAAGTCAGCTGGATAGATAAGGGCAACAAAGACAATTTCTTTTGATGGGAGCACATATTATTGTGTAAAATTAGACACAAGATACCATTTAAATTGGATTCCTGGCCTGAAAAGTGACTGTAAAAATAGTTTTACAGAGTTAGTATTAACTGCCTGTCGATGCCTTTCATAAGTAATGCTCCCATTGGCAAGGCAAAAGGCAGATTTTTCAGCTGGTCTTACATCCTCAGCCTTTCATTTCCTTTAATTGCTGGGAGGAAGGCTTCTGCAAGTCTCATGCACTGGGTTAATGAACTAATTGATTCATTCCCCAGTGTCCATTTGATCTCCTAGGCCCAGCTGAAGGGTGGAGGAACCCAAACTTCGTGTTCTCACTGAAGTGAACAGATATGTTCTGATTCAGAGCACATGGACTGTTAGGAGGAACTGTTCTTGTGCTGCCTCTTCTGGCTTCTCGAGATGCTTTGCTAACTGTAGCTTCCCTAATTTAGAGAGTTCAGCTCCACATGTGGCTTCTCAGACCTCACTTATAGCTTTTCAGGCCAAAAACCAGCCCTCATCATTGTTTTTTCCTCAGTTCCCACTTAACCCAAGATACACTGAGTCTCAAGCTGTGCTCCCTGCATCAGACAAAACAGTTCTTCCTCTGCTGGACGTAGACCCCTATTGAGGCTGATCACTGGCAGAGGAACACGTCCCTTTTGGTGACACTGCCAGTGTAAAGCCCCAATGGCCATGGCTTTTAGTGCTCCCCTTGAGATGATATCCCAGTCCTTAATCACCCTTACAGCTAAAACGCCCACTTTTACCCTGTCTAAACACCCAAAACCCAACCAGCTGCCCTATTTGGATGTGTTTTCCATTAAGCAAGGATTACCTCTCTCCCCAGGGCTTTGCCAGCAGCACAACTCTCTTGCCTGCCCTCCTCAGGGCTTGGGCCAGCCCATCGCCGTGACGGCGAGCTCCGACCCCACCAACTGCCCCCGCTGCCACCGCAGGGAGCACAGAGCATCCCCCAGGCTCCCTGCCCTGGACAGCACTGCCTCGCAGCAGGAGGGCGGAGCAGCCAGCGAGGAGGAGGAGGAGGAGGAGGAGGAGGAGGAAGGAGAGGGCAGCAGGGAGGATCAGGAGGCCTCAGCCCAGGAGGAGGAGGCGGAAGGCGGCGGGCGGCTGAAGCTCTGCGGGGCCGTGTGGCGAGAGGTGAGGGGCAAGCTCCGGGGCATCGTGGACAGCAAGTACTTCAACCGGGGGATCATGATCGCCATCCTGGTGAACACCATCAGTATGGGCATCGAGCACCACGAGCAGGTGAGGCCCCTGGGGGCACAGGCAGCTGCTGGGTCCTGCTGGGGGGTTACAGCCTCGCTGAGCAGTCAGGGGCAGAGACCGAGCGGTTCGGAGCCGGGGCCACAGCACAGATGGTCCCAGCGTGGCTTTGGAGGAAGCCTCGGGGCCTTGCAGGGTCTTTTCTTCCTTTATCCCTGCACTTTATTGCTTTCACTGTGTATTTTCCCCTCGGCTCCTTTCAGTCCCTCTCTTTTCCTCTTCCCTGCTTGCTCTTATCCTTCTGTTTTTCTCTTTCCATCTGCTTCGCGCTCCTTCACCCTCACCCGTCCCATCTTCCTCATCTCTCTCATTTCTCTCTTCATTAGCTTACTGAATCCTTAGTCTATTTGGTTAATTTAATGTGCCCTCTGGGGATGTCACAGGCACTGCACCAGCATCTCAGCTCACATCCATCAGCTCACAAGCCTTCCCAGCTTAATTAAGAGACGCCCGAGCACGAGTCTGTCTATAGAAAGAGGCCAGGAAAGGCACCACCTCCCATCTCCAGCTGTTTGGGGGGCTCAGATGGCCTGAGCCTTGCCTTTGCTGTGACAGCAAAAAGTGATAGATGGGTCACTCACAGCCAGCAGGTGTGGGCACAGGTTTGACTTTCACACCAAGAGTTTGCAGACAGCTCTGAGTCAGCAGTGCCCTTCATCCCAGTGACAGGCTCCTGAGATGGAGAAGGATTGTGTGTCCTCCTTTCATAGCTGGGAAGCAGAGGCTGTGTCTAGGATGTGCAGAGCTGGCTTCAGAGGGTTTTAAACATACCCAGGACCTTGCATGTGCCTTGCTGGCTGGCAGCTCTGCTGCACTGGGTGTAAGAGGAGTCCGTGCTATGCATCCATGCCTCTGATCTGTGCTGCCAGCCTGAACGTGGCCATAGTTTGCTCCACGTGTCTGCCCAGATCACAGAAATAAGAGATCACTCCAGTAATGAGGTGCTGACTGTATTGAAGGTCTGGAGCCAAGGTGAAGTCCAGTCCTGACCACAGTCTCATGTAGCAAAGAGACAGACACTGAGTCTGGTTCAAGGCACTCAGATTTGTCCTGTGCTCTATCAGGATGGAGATATCTTGAGACCCAGAGTATCTTATCCCTGCTTGAAGCAACGCAGTGTCTGAGCCAGTATTTGAAGCCCCAGATGTCTGGCTCCCACCCGTGTACCAGGCATTAAACTATTTTTTAAAGCCCAGCTAGTTTCTGATACATGCATGGGAAACCTTCCTTTGATCCCAGAATGCAAACCTGCAGTGGATGCTTCAGTACCAAAAAAATACTGGCAGGAGCTCCGGGGAGAGGGGAATGAAGAAGAGGCTGGAGGGGTTGACTCATGACAATAGATAAAAAAGAGCAATGCATTTATCACATAGCAGAGAGATGACTAAGGGTTGAAACCCAGGACAGTCTGAAAACTGCCCACTGATGTTTTAAAGATGTGAGCACTAAGCAGGGAGAGCCATTGTTCATTTTGGTTTATTGGAGAGAGTGTGAATTCAGAGTTTAGCAGAATATTTGAGCTGGAGGTAGAGAATTCACTCTCCTGTTCAGGCTATTGTGTTTGCAGACTGAAGCCCTTCCAGGCTGCCTCTGCTGTGTTTGTACAGCCCACAGCAGAGTGGGAGCTGCCTGCAGTCTTGAGGTGTCTTGTAGCAGGTTATTAATGACACATCCTTCAAGTTATGCTCTCACTTTTTATCCACAAGTAGCTGGGAAAAGCTCAGGACTATGTATGCTCTTGGAGAGAGATGTCAGCTGAACTGATCATAACTGATAAATGTGGTGTCACCTGTTTATTTAAAGTGTGTGTGTTGAATCCTGTTTCCCTGACACAAGAAGATTAAAAAGAAATAATATTCAGACCATACCATGAATTCCAGGTCTTTATCAGTCAGCAGTTAACTCAAAATCACCCAGGCATTTGCACTTCCATTTGCTCTCTTCCAGTTTTCCTCAAACCATGCTCTCAGCACATATCAGGCTGGTGCTCCATCCCCTATTTTTCTCTCCTTCTCCCAGAAACATGAATTTTCACAGAACAATATCCAGCAAAACATCTCTGATTTGCAGTGACACCATCCTGTGACTGAAGTAGCTTCTGTTGCTTCAGCTCATTCATCCCATGAATTGCTCCTGGCCCAGAGCTAATGCGCAAAGAGACTTCTCAAAGCTTTTATTTGCTGGTGCATGGGAGATCACAGCCCCAGCCACTCTCTGGGGACATATGTGGCTAGACAAGAGGACGTGTGGAGGTGTCACGTGTTTGAGCAGTCCTGGGAGCATCTTGTGGCACATCTGTCAGCTCCTGCTGCTCCACTGACTCAGGTGAGCTGTCCCAGTGACCACAGCACCCACCAACCACTAGGTTAAGGGGGGAGAGAGCTGCAGGAGCCAGGCTCAAGGTTCATGGTCAGAAACAGCACCCTGCGGGACAGAGCTCCTGTGTGAGCCTTGCCTTTGATTCCTGAACCTTGACCAACAGCAAGAAAAACATGAATTCAAATAATCTGTTTGTTCCAGTTCAGGGGTTTAATAGTCACAGTGTTTTCCTGCCAGGAGACTTAAGCGCAGCAGCTCAAACCACTTTACTCAGAACCAAATCCCCTCAGAATTTAGCTTAGCCATCCAGTCTCTTGTCCTGTCCTGTTTGTGTGGCCAAGGCAGCTTCCCATCTCCTTCTACATTTCTTGTGAGGGAAATAAACTCATTTTGGGAGAAACTGCAGTGGTATGAGTAATTTTTAATCCTTAAACTTATTGTGAGTTATCACCTGTAAATAGATAAGTTTATTCAGATCCATCAGTCTGCATTATACCATGTAATAGCCTCAGCATCAGGCCTTCAGATATTGCTGGGACTCTGTACGAGCCCAAATCCACCATTTCAAGCTTTGTCCTGCTTGAAATAATTTTGGCAGTTCTTCAGTTCTTCTTCTGCTCGGAAATGTCTATTTTTAAAATCCAGTGTAGAAAATCAAGATATTAGATGCTTGTGACTGTCCAGAAGGATCCTTTTAAGAGGCTTACTTTTTTTAGTGTTCACAGAGGATCTGGTGCTGTGCAGCTCTCTCCCTTATTCAGCACGAGGATGAAAGGCTGGTCCCAGCTGAACATCCCAGGCTGCCTTCCTCATCTATTTCTTGGATGCCCTGTTGGGCTCAAGCTTCTTTGCCATTAGTAGCCAATGAGACAATTGCTGAGTAATTTGGTTTATCTTCTCCAGTATCTACTTAAAGTCCCCTTTTGTACATCAGATCAATGCTTTATGAGGTCTGTCATGTGTGGATCAGGAGATGATCCCTTGTTTCCTAACTAGATCAGCCCTGTGGCTCAGCACCCTCATATCCTTTAGCCTGCATGATTTCCCTTTATATACCAGCATTTATTGCATCCACGAGTTCATATTTTTACAGTTATTGCTTCTCTTTTTACTATTTGCTGCTTGTCAGAAACATTCAGCAAATGTCCAAGCCAGCTCATCATGCTGACATTTAGTAAATGATGGAACAGTCTCCCTGGGGTCGTAGATGAAACCACGTTGTGAAACTAGGGCATAACAAAACATCCTGAAATCCCGCAGTCGTTGTTGAGTGGTGGCTGGAGCAAGAAAAAAACATATTTGATATGTTCCATGGCTGATATGTCTCTTCTGATTATTGTCAAGTGTCTTTGAAATGGTGAAAATGGACACACTGGAGAGAGCTCCCTGTGGAATATTTGTCTTCTTCTCAGAGGCAGTGGTTTGCAGGTATGGTTTGGTGGGGCTAGTCTGCAGAGATCACACCCATCACTCTCCAGTTTCTAGACAGTTGGCAATTTACTCCTGGTTAGGAGAAGCTCCTCCTGCAGTGCCTTCGTGGTGGTCTGCATATGCTTAACCCTTCCTGTAGTGCAGGAGTTTCTGGCTGCTGTCAGATAATGGACCAATTCCTTTTTCAGTCTCATCTGAGATAAGAATACCAACATTAGTAAGAAGCTGAAAAGGAGAAGAAAGCTGAGCAGCTGCCCTCTGTTGTCCCAGGTCTAGTTTCTGATGTCTGGGGAGGAGCCCTGAAGTCCTCCTGAATCTTCCACTTCTCTCTCAGGATTTGATCTGCACTGGTAGGGGTGAAGAGCTCAGTGCCATGAAGATGTCAGGTAGTTTCATGCATTTGGAAAGAGATCCATATTCAGAGTAGTGAAGCAGTCTGGTTAAAACAGTGGCTGTGGCCATGCTGTGCCCCTGGGATCTCTCTTTTCCTCACCTCAATCCTCAGCTCCCACAGTTTTGTTCATGTTTCTCTCCTGGTGTGGTGGGTAAATGAATCTACCCCAGCTTGGCAGTATGAGCAGACTTCTCTTGTGGAAAGATTTTTGGCGTTCCCTGGTTTTGCTTGGGCTAAAATACCCTTGAGTTCAGCTTTGGTTTTTGATTCCTCTCACTGCCTTTCTCTCTGCACCTCTTCTTCCTTTCCCTGCCCAGTCCTTCCTGCTCCTCTCTCTTGGAAAGCTGCTTTGGAAAGCTGGGGCTGATTGATGGCCCATTAGAAAAAGATTAGCAGGGGGAGACTTGACTAGAGAAACAGATGTCAGGAGGGAAGGAGAGGCAGGGGAGCAGGTGACCTTTTCCACAGGCAAGATGCAAGGATGGCTTTTCAAACATCAATTTCTCCCCACGACAGCACAAGAGAGACCGTGTGGACAGCAGAGAGGAGGATAATCCACCATCATAGCCTGTCATTTTTGTACATTGCTCATTCTCACTGATACAATCATTTGATTCAGGCTGAAACTGGCATCTCTGTTCAGCATATGGACCTGGCAAGGGTCATTACTGCCTGGCTTGCCATGAAGTGATCTTCATCTCTCTCTTCCTGTGTGCACTTGCTCCTTCTTCCTCTCTCTTTACTCTTATCTTCCCTCCTCTCCCCTCGTTTTCAGGAGGCTTTTGTTATTCAAATGTAATTATGGGTAGAAATTGAGCTATCTCCCCCTTTTCTTTTTATAATTTTAAAGCAGTAGACTATTTCAATAAAAAGCTGCAATGATGAGTGCAAGAAATTAGCAAAGGGAAGCCACAGATGTGAGGAGCAGTTTCCAGGCCATCTACTCCCCTGGGAGGATTGGGCCTCAGGTAGACACCATGATTTCCCTTCCTCTTGGGCACTAATACTGATATGTGAGAGAAATATTGGCTCTGACCTGCAGGGTATTCAATACCTCAACCTTTCCTCATCCTTGGTCACTGGTCACACCCTCACATCCAGCTGAGGATGGAATTTCTCCTTGGTCCTCCTTTTGCTCTTAATGTACTTATGGAAACATCTTTTATTGTCTTCTGTGGCAGTTGCCAGATTAAAGCTGGGCTTCAGCCTTTCTAACTTTTCCCTGCATATCCTCACAAAATCTTTGCAGTCTCCTTGACAGCTCATTTTTCAGCACCTGGGGATGACCTGCTCCTGCACCTTAAAGATTTCCCTCTTGAAGAACGTCCAGCCTGGTCTTCTCTGCCCTTCAGGACTGCCTCCCAAGGGACTTTGTCAACCAGTCTCCTAAACAGGCCAAAGCCTACCCTCTGGAAGTCCAAGGTGGCAGTTCTACTGACCTTACTTCTCCAAGAACTGGAAACTCTCACTAAGACCATCTCCAACCACCACATCACCCCCAAGTCCTCTGTTCACAAACAAGAGGTCCATCAGGGCACCTTCCCTGGTGGGCTCCCTCTCCAGCTGTGCCAGGAAATCATCTTCCACACCCTCCAGGAACCTCCTAGGCTGTTCCCTCCCTGCTGTATGGTACTTCCAGCAGACATCTGCTGTGCTGAATCCCCTGTGAGAATAAGTGGTAGTGATGTGAGACTTCTCCCAGCTCCTTGTAGAATGCTTCATCTGCTTCTTGATCCTGGCTGGGCAGTCTATAACAGCTGGTAGGGTAGAGAACTCTACTTGTGCTCCTGATCTCTTATCCAGTCATCCTGTGGCCCTGAAGTCTCTTTTGATTGTCCCCAGATTTCTCCTTGCAAGTCTGTTGCTGCCTACCTGAAAGGTCAATGATGGATAAGAGTCTGAGGGCCACACCAGGGTGGGAAGTTTCTCACCACATCTTTAGCAAGTGAGCAAAGTGAGTGGTTTCTCATCTAGAGAAGTGAGTCTGGTCTGTGTTTGGGGCTTTCTGTTCCCTTCAGAAGAGGGTCACCTGTGACAATGGCCCATCTTTCTTTCTTTTAGAAGCAGTGCTGGTGCAAGGTGTAGGCTGACTTGATCTTGACCATGCTCATCAGCTAGATGAATCATCATCCTCTGTATTATCAGGTTCTACTTGCAAGGCCCCATACCTGTTATGCAAGGACATCTGGGAAGGTGGGATTGCTGCTGAGGGGACGTGCCTGAATCCTTTATGTTGGGTATCTTGTCTGACTGTTGGGCCTGTCTCAGGGATGTGGTTCCAGTCATCTGAGCAGCCTGACCCAGCTGGAGATGTCCCTGTTTATTGCAGGGGGGTTGGACTAGATGGCCTTTAGAGGTCCCTTCCAACCCAACTGCCCTGTCAATGCCCATGCCTCAACAACCTCTCCCATGAGAGCTGCCAGCTCCTAATGTGTCTCTCTGCTCTGCTGCTGTTTCCCTACCAGCAGAGAACCTCAGGAAACCCCTGTAGACAGTGACCTGCTGTAGGCTGAGCTCACTCTGGAGCAGCTCCCCTTGGCTTTTATGTGATGCTTAGAAAAGTGGCCTGGTGGCCAGGCACAGGAATCCTCAGCCACCTTTTCAGCAGGGGTGTCCAAACAGTGGAGTTCTACTGCCTGCTGCCAGAAGGGCTGGGTCAGACTCACCTTGAAGGCTTGGAGCTGGGGCTCAGTGGCACAGGAGGTTGAAGATCAAATACGTGACCTTGTCTGAGGTGTGACATACCTGCCACAAGGCAAATGTGGAAATTAGCCTTGAAGAAGTGCCTTGGAGCTGCTGTGCCTGCTTGTCCTTCCACTTGGGAAGGTGACATACCTTTGTCTGGAGCAGGTCCCCACCAGCTGCTTGCTTGGGAAGGGGATGTCCAGGAGCATGCTACAGCTAGGTGAGCTGCCTAGCAGTCTCCTGCAGTCTGAAGACCATGGGTTGTCTAGCCTGATCCCAAGATACAACCTGTTACACTGGGAGGAAGTTTTTCTCTCACTTTGGGAGCATTTTGTAGCTTCCCATTGTCATGGTGGTCTCCAGGGGTGAGCCACCAACTCTTGCTGTTTGACCTGGTACAGTCCCAGTCCCTGGGTGAGAGCTGCTTTGAGCAGATGTGTTCATCCCAAATTCAGTGTAGGGAGTGCCTTCATTCCACAGGATGGCACCATCCAGGCATCCCTCCTCAATGACACCAGCCTCTTTCTCCCTCTGAGGCAATGTTTCATCATTCCTGAGGAAATGGCCTAGACCCTTTCCTGACCTTGTCAGAGAAGTTTCCAAGGCCACACACACTGCAGAAAAAGTCATTAACTCAGAAAACAAAAGGAGGGGTAATTCAATTTGCTCAGACTTGTTCCACTGATGGAGTCATTAAAACACTTTCTTTCATATGCACAAACACATCGGTCTCTGCTGGGCGAGGCTGTACCACAGGGGCTGGAAGAGGTGGCAGAGATTCAACAGAAAAAAAGCCTGAGCCAGGGTCAGATTGCCCTTTTTCCTTTCCCTTTTCCCCTTTTTTTCCCTTTTTCCCTTTCCATCAGCTTGTGTCCCACCTGTAGGTCTTTACCTTGTGCATCTACCCCTCCCCTTTTGCTGTGTGTTTTTCTTTTCTCCTCACCCTGTCCTGTTCCGCCTGTCCCTCACAGGTAGGTGTTAGTAGTGTTCTCCTCCTTGAGGTTGTCTTGTCCAGTCTGATATTCACTTGGGTAACTCCTGAAACCACTCTAAGGATAGTGGCATGAGAAAAACTGCTGGCACAAGACCAGAAAACTAATGCATGCCAAGGATTTGCTGGGGAATCAGGGAGAGAAAAATGGGGAAGGGAAAAAAAAAGAGGCAAAGAGCAGAGAAGTGCAGTGAGGTGTAGGAAAGATGAGGAACTGTTTTGTATCATTGAAACACCTTCAGAATTGCAGGAAAAAAATGGAAGAGCTACCAGTGGAAACCTCAGAAGAAGAAATCCCTGAGGAAAGAGGTTGACCACAGGTCAGCCACTTTTGCTCTGCTTCAAAAAATACTCAAGTTCTTCACACAGAGTAAAGAAGCTTTTAGCTTCTGGAGGAGCAGGGTATGGAGTGGCCGTCCCCTGCGAATGGTGCCACTTTATTTCTCATCATTTCAAGGCTCTTTTGGTTCTGACTCTCTGAATTTGTCTTCTCTCCAGCCAGAGGAACTGACCAACATCTTGGAGATCAGCAACGTCGTGTTTACAAGCATGTTTGCCCTGGAGATGATCCTGAAACTTGCTGCTTTTGGTCTCTTTGATTACCTCCGCAACCCCTACAACATCTTTGACAGCATCATTGTCATCATCAGGTGACAGGGGCCCTGGGGATCAGCTGAAACACACAGTGAAAAGAATACCACAGGGCATCCACCTCTGCATGTGCCTTTTCAAAAAGGATTTAGCAGCTCTCCTAGGAGGAGCTGAGCTTGATGCACAAGGTCTGGGAGACCAAGGTGTCTTTTCCCAACACTCGGTGACCCTTGGCAAACCCCACAGCAGTTCTGCCTCTCAGTTGTCTCCTCTGTAGAACTTGCAATGGCCTTGCAAGGCCACAACAAGCCTTAGCTGTGAAATGTTTTAAAAATGCACAAATTAAGGATGCTGCAGAGGTTTAATGCACGACAGAAGAGGTTGTCTTGCTGGAATTTAATACTCCTTCCCTTATATTTACAACATGCAGTGCCATGGTCACGTTCTCAAGTGAGAAACAGCTTTCTACACATATTTATGAGCCCATGGTATATATTTCTATTTACATCTTGCTCAAACAGGAAGCTCTCTGTTGCTCAGAGACCTTCTCTCTGACCCCTTTAGAACCGCTGCCGACGTGGAGGTGAAAACTTTGAGTTTATGGTTATTCCTCTCTCTCATCTCTTTGTCCACTTGTTTTTCCCTTTGTCCATCATGCTCCCCGTACCCCTCTGGGCCATAGCATCTGGGAGATCATCGGGCAGGCGGATGGGGGCCTCTCTGTGCTGAGGACTTTCAGGCTGCTGCGGGTGCTGAAGCTGGTGCGCTTCATGCCCGCGCTGCGCCGCCAGCTCGTGGTGCTGATGAAGACTATGGACAACGTGGCCACCTTCTGCATGCTCCTCATGCTCTTCATCTTCATCTTCAGGTGAGGAAGCAGTGCTTTTTGCACAGCTGGTGTGGGCAGCAGTGTCAGAGCATGGCTGCACCACTTGTCTTGCCCATTGCTCTAGGCACAGATGTTTATTTGCTTGTAGGACTGAGGTTGCTGCTGCCCTAAATTGGGTTGGCAGCTGAAGATTTGGCCTAGACAGGGTGGAGAAGTTCTGCCACCAATAACACATGTTAAGCACAATGTCCCATTGCAGGATAGGTGACCTCTCTTGGTAATCAGCACTGGCTGCAGGAAGAGTTCAGGCTGGAGGCTGCTCTGGCAGAAAGGCAGCAGGAAGGAACCAGGAAAGTTCTGTCAGTGCATCCTGTGGAGCCTGTGGTTGAGAGATGGAGAGAAATGAAAGAGAACAAGAACAACAGAGAGAGCAGATCAATTTGGGGTGATAATGTGAGCTCTGAGGCAGTGCAGATGGAAAGCAAATCTTTTTGCGAGCTCAAGGGATTCAATACACAGCTCCTTCCTCATGGATAGGTCCCAGTGGTCTGGCTGTGCTGTTCTGTCCCTCGCTCCT